CTTTTCCATACATACACACCTATGATAAAGGTTAATTTATAAATTAGGCACAGTAAGAGATTAACAATACTAACTAATAATAAAATAGAACAATTATAGAGCAATTACGTGAATGTGGTGTCTCTCTCTCTCTCTCTCTCTCTCTCTCTCAAAATACATCGTTGTACTGTACTCACTTTTCTTATTTCTTGTGATGAGGTGCAACTCATATGCCAGGCAGGACACAGCAGGATGGTGCATGATCCCATCTCACTACTCAGAATTTAAAACTTATGAATTGTTTATTTCTGGAATTTTCCACTTAATATTTTCAGACTGCAGTTGAATGTGAGTAACTGAAACTGGAAAGTGACACCACAAATAAGGGGAAACTACCGCATTTTTTCCTTTCTTTTCTTTTGGTTTGTCTTTTTCTTATTGATTTTTAGGAGCTCTTTATATACCATGGACAAAACACTTCTTCCATTAAATATTTTGTTCTTATTTTCTAACAGTATTAATTATATTTAACTTGGTTAAACTGAGCCACTTAAAGTTTACTGGTTCGAAGTCAGTGGGACACCAAAGCTTGTATTCATAATTTTTTTCCTTTTTGGCTACTGATAGATATATCCATGCCTTCTAAGTCTGAGAGTAAATAAATAGATTTTCAGACACGAACTCTCCCTAAAAATACTTACCACTAACTAACTCATTTCTAGGAAGCTACCCAAAATGTTCCACAAACTCTCTCATGTGTGTCTCTTCCTATAAGGGCATTAATCGCACCATGAGTGCCCCACCCTCATGACCTAATTACCTCCCAAAGGCACCATCTCAAATACCATCATGTTGGGGGTTAAGGTTTCAACATGTGAATTTTGCAGGGACACAAACATACAATCCATAACACTGAGCTTTTCAAAGGTTTTTATTGTTCTTTTCATTTTCTTCTTTATTTTTTATTTTCTACTACCTGGGTTGAAATCTCAGCTTCATTATTTACTAGCTATGCAACTTCAGAAAAAATTTTTACCTCTTTATGCTCTCATTTTGCTGTTTCTTCACCTGGAAAGTGGAGGTTATTCTATTTCCCTCATAGGATTGTGATTAGAATTAAATGTCTGTAATGTTATTAGCAGAGGTCTGTATTGCTATAGATGTAAATATATAGATAATATACTACTAAACAGAGTCAAGTAATATAGCAAACAAATAATTCACTACAAACAAGTAGGGTTTATTTCCCGATGCAAGCATACTTCACTACTAGAAACATAGGTCTATAATGTGAATACAGTCACCATTACTTGGAGATAATAATAGTATATACATAATAGAGTTGGTATAAGGATTAAATGAAAAATTTTTATTAAAGTATAGTTGATTTACAATATTGTGTTAGTTTCAGGTGTACAGCAAAGTGATCCAGTTACATATATATCTATTTTTTCAGATTATTTTCCATTATAGAGTCTTACAAAATTTTGAGTGTATTTCCCTGCCCTTTACAGTTAATCCTTGTTTCTCATCTATTTTTTGTATATAAGTTTGTATTTATTAGTCCCATACTCCTAATTTATCTCCCCACCCTTTCCCCTTTGGTAACCATAAATGAAATATTTTATGTAATACTTAGCTCAGTAGCTGGTAAGTATTAACTTTGAATATATTTTGGCCATTTTTATTTTTAACATTATTATTATAGATTATAGGTAAGATAGTATATGATCATCCAGAGAAATTTTGATATTTTGATAAATCTAACAACTCTTCTTGATTTAAATATATGAATTCTTATAGGTAAGGTGTTGAAAGAAATTTCTTTAATAAGAGAAAGAATAGCTGTGTAAAGATAGCTGGCAAATATCATATCCAACAATGAAACATTAGCAGAATTATCATTAATTGCATCACCAAGGATACTTGCTATCATAGCTATAATTTAACATAATTCTAGGAACTGTAGCTAACGCAGTAAGTCAAGAAAAGTATGAGACACAAATACCTAAAACGAGTGAAATAATTTATTATTTACTTATGATACATATTTCTACCCAGAAAACCCCAGAGAGTCAACTTGTAGGCAAATTTAAGAAGGTGGCTGCTGACAAAATACATAGACAAATTAATAGCTTTTCTTCTCTACCAGCAATAACCAGTTAGAAATCAGAATAGAATAAGAGTTCTTATCCACAGAGCAAGGAAAAACCCTAGCAATGAACTGAACAAGTGATGTGCACAGCCTATGTGAAACAAAGAATAGGATGCCACTGAGATTCTAAAATTATGTTTAAATAAAGAAGAAAATGCTATCTGCTTGGATGGAAATAATGTTCTTTATGAAGATATTAATTTTATACAAATAAATCAATAACTTCAATGAAATTCTAGAGAACTTCTGAGGAAATTATATATCAAATAAAATCATAATTAAAAGATATTATATTACATGGGGAAATTGTCTCAATACAATGTGAAGTGAGGGAAGTAGAATAGAAAACTATATGCACTATATGTATTGCTGCTGTAAAGTTGACCTTGAATGACATAGGTTTGAACTGCATGGGTCCACTTATATGCTGATTTTTTTAAACAGTAAATACTACAGTTCTATACAATCCGTAGTTGGTTGAATCCATGGATGTGGAACCATGCATGTGAAGGGCCGACTGTAAGTTATACCTGGATTTTCAACTCATTGGAGGGTCAGCGTCCCTAACTCCCCCATTGTTCAAGGATCAACTGTAGTTTTATTTATAAAAATAAATAAAATATTAATTTAATTAAATTATTTAAATATATTTTTATTATTAAATTACATTTTTTATTAAAATTAAATTTAATTATACATTTAAAATACAGGAGCAATACATATAAAATATCTAAAAACATACTGCAAAATTTTAACACTGGGATGGGAGGGTGAGGACAGGGATGACTGGCAATATTTTCCTATATTTTTTCCATTTTACACAGTGAGAATGTATTACTTTCTGTATTTTTATAAAAGGTATATACTACAGAAGTAAAATCTAATAAAATGAATTTATCAGTGTGAACTAAGTTGATGGTGCCATTTGTTTTCTGTCATTCACACTTGGGCCCTGCAAAAACATCATTATCCACACTGTTTTTGTGCAATGGATAATATATTTAATAATTAACTCTCCACACTATGTGGAAATTATGCTTCAGTACTAAGTTTTATTTCACATAATAGATTTCAGTAATGTGTTTCAGCACACAGTATAATTAGTTAATGGGGTTATAGTCATAAAGACTTGGTCCAACATAGAATTATGTTCCCTTTAAGACCTCTTCCTCCTGAAATTATGCACTCTGCTGTGCCTGGATCACACATACATACACACACATTTAATTTTTCATTTAGATGATCATAATTTGTGGCTTTCAGAGAGTGCTTTCTATTTTAATTTCTATTTTTACCTTGTGGTGGAAAAATGTCAATAGATTGAAAATCAGGTGAGGTTTAGAAATATTAGGAAAATTTACTAATAAACCTCATTAATACATCATTAAATATTGTGTGTTTGGAGTGAAGTAAAAGAGAAAAGTTCTTGTCTAGAAAAAAATATAATACATTAATTTTTTAAAATGCACTTTTAGGGCTTCCCTGGTAGCACAGTGGTTGAGAATCCGCCTGCCAATGCAGGGGACAAGGGCTCTATCCCTAGCCCAGGAAGTTCCCACATGCCGCGGAGCAACTAAGCCCATGTGCTACAACTATAAGCCTGTGCTCTAAAGCCTGTGAGCCACAACTACAGAGCCCACGTGCTGCAACTACTGAAGCCCGTGCGCCTAGAGCCCGTGTTCTACAGCAAGAGAAGCCACCGCAGTAAGAAGACTGCACACCTCAACAAAGAGTAGCCCCTGCTCGCTGCAACTAGAGAAAGCCCGCATGCAGCAGCGAAGACCCAACGCAGCCAAAAATAAATAAATAAAATTAATAAAAAATTTTTTTAAATGAGAAAGAATATGTTAAAAAATAATAAAATAAAATACACTTTTACACATTCTAACGTAAAACATTTTATTCATATAAATGTTATTTTATATAATAGTATTTTTATAGAGGATTCATAAAAAATTTTTCAACAGGCCAAAAAAAAAAAAGCTAATTACTATTATTTCAGTGAATGTTTTCTTTTGTAATACAAGGCATTAAGAGGCCGCCTCCTGGTAGAAAAATGAATATGAACTCTTGTTGGTCATTGATACAAAAACTGTCTTTATAAGTTGATGTAATAGAATGCTCAAATTTGGAAGTCAGGTAGACCATATCAAAATAAGCTTATTTCTCTCTTAGTACTTCGTGTTACACTTTCATACATACTATTGTAAGTATTTCATAATAGTTTGGTAAGTTTGACATTATTATTGTAATGATTTTTATCAGTATGATATAGGTCGATGATGACATTTGTTTTCTGTCATTCACACTTGGGCCCGGAAACATGTCACTATCAACACTGTTACAGAAAAAGAAACTTTAATGCAAAGCTATTAATTTGCCAAATAACAAAGAAAATCGTAGAATTGAGGACAAATGTTCTGCTAATTAAAATGTACAGTACTTTTATTCTTCATAGTATAATATATGACTGTCCATAATATTTCTTCTGAAATTATCAATACTTAGTTATATTACATTTTGATGCATTTCCATTCACCAAACTCAAATGTCATGTAATTTACATGGAAGGGGAAAGTTTGTCTTTCTCCTTTGCAAGTGAGAAAGATACCCAGTCTTCTGAAAACTGGGCATTACATTTAGTCCCTTCCCTTGCAATTCACATTCAAACCTTTGGTGTAAGTCCTGTCAATTCTGCTTTAAAGTTATTGCACATCAATTATTTCTCTCCATCTCCATTGACCCCACTCCAAGTCAAACCCAAATCCCTCCACCTGGACCACTACAGCATCTCCTAACTGATCTTTCCCCTCCACTTTTTTTTTTTTTTTTTTTAGCTTACAAACAACAGAAATTTATTTCTTACAGTTTTAGAGGCTGGAAATCCAAGATCAAGGCACCAGCAGATTCAGTGTCTGGTGAGAGCCCTTTTCCTGGTTCATATATGTTCGTCTTCTTGCTGTAACCTCATATGGTGGAAGAGATCTCCCTTGATATTCAGGACATTCTCTGCAAAGTAGAGTAATCATGTCAAGCTTAAATTCATTTGTACCATTCCCCCACACCTGCAAAAGACCACAGTAGCTTCCTAGTGCTCTTAGAATAAAATAATCACATCCTAATTCTTTACCCTGTTTGCAGGGCTCCGCGTGCATGGATGACACTTGAACTAGCTCTTCAACCTTCACTTGTGCCATAAATAAACTCTCCACTCTGGCCACATGATCTTCTGCTGGCACTCTCTGGAGAGAGCTCTTAGCTGTCTCCAGACAATTTTACTAGATTCTTCTTCTATCTGGGTTATTCTTCAAATGACCAACTTCTTATCCAAGTCTCATCTTAAATGCTACTTACTTAAAGAGTCTTTCCTTAAGCATTAAATCTAAGTAGGGCCCTATCTTTTTATTTTTTAATATGATAGTATACTTCATTTGAATTTAATTTTATGACTGCACTATATTTACATAATTTTAAAAGTCAATTATTTTTACAGGGCTCAAAACAAAAGCTATTTTTCTCTATCTCATGTCTTACCTCCCTTCAATTTCCTCTTCAGAGAAGCAAACATTTAAAACTCATTCAGTAGCTTATCCTGCTGTTTTCCTACATATATTTTTTTGTTTTATTATATAAATTTCAGGCATACAGCATTATAATTTGACTTCTGTAAACAGGACAGAATGATCACCACCAAAAGTCTACTTATCATCCATCACCATACAGTTGACTGCCTTCACCCATTTTGCCCATCCCCAACCCACTTCCTGTCTGGTAACTGCTAATCTGATCTCTGTATCTATGAGTTTGTTTTCATTTAATTTTGTTTGTTTGCTTTTTCTTTTAAGATTTCACATATGATTAATATTATGCAGTACTTGTCTTTCTCCATCTGACTTATTTTACTTATAACACCTTCAAGGTCCATCCTCGTTGTCACAAGTGTCAAGATTTTCTTCTTTGTTACAGCTGAGTAGTATTCCATTGTGTGTATATGCATCACGTCTTCTTTATCCATTCATTCACTGATGAACACTTAGGTTGTTTCATATTGTAGCTATTGTAACTAATACTGCAATTAACATAAGGGTGCATATATCTTTTTGAATTAGTGTTTTCATGTTTTTTGAATAAATATCTAGAAGTAGAATAGCTGGGTAATATGGTAATTCTATTTTTAATTTTTTGCAGAATCTCCATACTGTTTTCCATAGTGACTATACCAATATACAGTCCCATCAATCATGTATGAGGGTTACCTTTTCTCTACATCCTCTCCAACATTTGTTATCTCTTGTCTTTTTGATAATAGCCATTCTAACAAGTGTGACATTATATCTCAGTGTGATTTTGTTTACATTTCCTTAATAACTAGTGATGTTAAACATATTTTCATGTGCCTGTTGGCCATCTACGTGTTTTCTTTAGAAAATGTCTATTCAGATCCACCACCCATTTTCTAATCAGGTTGTTTTTGTTGTTGTTGTTCAGTTCTATGAGTTATTTATGTTTGGATATTAACCCCTTATCAAATATATGACTTGCAAATATCTTCTCCCATTAAGTAGGTTGCCTTTTCATTTTGATGATGGTTTCTGTTGCTATGAAGAAGTTTTTAGTCTGATGTAGTCCCAGTTTTCCATTTTTACTTTTGTCTTCCTTGCCTTTGGAGTAAGATCCACAAAAACATCGCTAAGACTGATGTCAGTGATGTTACCACCTATGTTTTCTTCTAGGAATTTTATGGTTTCATGTCTTACATTCAAGTCTTTAATCCATTTTGAGTTAATTTTTTGTATGGTGTAAGACAGTGGTCTAGTTTCATTCTTTTGCATGTGGCTGTCAAGTTTTCCCAACTTATTGAAGAGACTGTCCTTCCTCTGTTGTATGTTCTTTGCTCCTTTGTTGTAAATTAATTGTTGATATGTGTGGGGGTTTATTTCTGGGCTCTCAATTCTGTTCCATCGATCTGTCTTTTTTTGTGCCAGTACCATACTGTTTTGATTATGATAGCTTTGTATTATAGTTTGAAATCAGGGAGCATGATAATTCCAGTTTTCTTCTTCTTTCTCAAGATTATTGTGGCTATTTGGGATCTTCCATAGTTCCATAAAAATTTTAGAAATATTTGTTCTAGTTCTGTGAAATATGCCATTGAAATTTTGATAGGGATTGCATGGAATCTATAGATTGCTTTGGGTAGTATGGACATTTTAGCAATATTAATTCTTCCGATCCATGAATATGAAATATCTTTTCATTTGTTTTTGTTTTCTTCAATTTTTTTCATCAGTTTCTTATAGGTTTCAGTGTACAGGTCTTTCACCTCTTCTGTTAAATTTATTCCCAGGTATTTTGTCCTTTTTGATGCAATTGTAAATGGGATTGTTCTCTTAATTTCTCTTTCTGATGGTTCACTATTGGTGTAGGGAAATGTCACAGATTTCTGTATATTGATTTTGTATCCTACAACTTTACTGAATTCTACATTACTAATTACTGTTATTTGTTCTACCAGTTTTGGTGTGGAGTCTTTAGGGTTTTCTATATATAGTATTATGTCATCTGCAAATAGCGACAATTTTACTCCTTCCTTTCCAATTTGAATTCCATTAATTTCTTTTTCCTGTATGATTGCTATGGCTAGGACTTCCAAAACTATGTTAAATGAAAATGGAAAAAGTGAGCATCTTTGTCTTGTTTCTGATCTCAGAGGAAAAGCTTTCAGCTTTTTACCAGTAAGTATGATGCTAGTTGTGGGTTTGTCATATATAGCCTTTATTACATTGAGGTCCATTCCTTCTACACACACTTTGTTGAGAGCTTTTATCATAAATGGATGTTGAATTTTGTCAAATGCATTTTCTGCATCAGCTGAGATAATTGTATGGTTTTTATCCTTCATTTTGTTAATGTGATGTATCATGTTGATTGATTTGCAGATGTTGAACCACACTTACATCCTTGGAAAAAATTCCACTTGATCATAATGTATGATTTTCTTTAATGTATTGTTGGAATTGGTTTGCTAATATTTTGTTGTGAATTTTTAATCTATATTCACCAAGGATTTTGACCTCTAATTTTCTTTTTTTGTGGTATACTTGTCTGGTTTGTTGGACAGGAAATGCATGTTTTGGTATCAGTGTAATGCTGGCTTTGTAAAATGTGTTTGGAGGGTTTCCCTACTTTTCAATTTTGGGGATGATTTTGAAAAGGATACATACTGAATATCTTTGAATGTTTTGTAGAGCTCACCAGTGAAGCTGTCTGGTCCAGGGCTTTTGTTCATTTGGAGATTTTTTAATGCTGCTTTAATTTCCTTACCAGTAGTCAGTCTATTCAAAATTTCTATCTATTCATGATTCAGTCTTGGATGTTTGTATGTTTCTAGAAATTTATCCATTTTTTTCTAAGTTGTCCAACTTGTTGGCATACAATTTTCTGTACTAGCCTCTTATGATCTTTGTATTTCTATAATATAAATAGTAACTTCTTTTCATTTCTGATTTTATTTACTTGATTGTATTTACTTGAGTCTTCTCCCTTTTCTTCTTGTTTAGTCTACTTAAAGGTTTGTCAATTTTGTATATCTTTTCAAAGAACTAGCTCTTAGTTTCATTGATTTTTTTCTATTTTTTTTTGTTGTTAGTATCTATTTCATTTATTTCCACTGTAATCCTTATTATTTCCATCCTTCTACTAATTTGGGGATTCATTTGCTCTTTTTTGTAGTTCCTTTCGGTATAAAGTTAGACTGTTTATCTTGGTTTTCTCTTACTTTTTGAGGAAGGACTGTATTACTATGAACTTCCCTCTTAGAACCAGTTTTGCTATATCCCATAGATTTTTGTATGTTGTATTTCTGTTTTCACTTGTCTCTAAATATTTTTTGATTTCTCCTTGATTTCTTTGATGAACCATTAGTTGTTCAGTAGCATGTCGTTTAATCTCCATGTTTTTGTGGCTTTCCCTATTTTTTTCTAGTGATTGAGTTCTAGTTTCATATCATTGTGATTGGGGAAGATGCTTGATAGTATTTCAATCTTTTTTAATTTACTGAGATTTGTTTTGTGACCTAACATGTTATCTCTCCGGGAGAATATTCCATCTGCACTTGAGAAGAATATGTATTCTGCTACTTTTGGAAGGAATGTTCTGTACATATTCTAAAGTCCATCTGGCCTAACGTGTTGTTTAAGTCTAATGTTTCCTTATAGATTTTCTGTCTGGATGATCTATCCATTCATGAAAGTGGGATGTTAGACAATTACTATTATTGTATTGCATTAAATTTCTCCCTTTAAGTCTGTTAATATTTGCTTTATATATCTTGGTGCTCTTCCCATTCTTTTATTCTTTACCAAAACACCCTATGGATTTATTTCTTAAACACAACACAATCAGTAATACTGTTATGCATTTGTTTGCTCATTTGTTACCTCTCCTTCACCACTAGAATGTAGGCTCAGCAAGAGCAGGACCCTTATATGTCTCATTCATCATTGTATACCCTGTTCCTGGAACAGTTCTTGGAGCATGGTGGGCTCTCAATAAAAATTGAGTGAATGTATAGTTTTTGCATGATAAACACATTAAGGCTGTATAAAAATTTAGACACTCACTCTTTCAAATATTTCTAACTTCTCATGTAAATTTCAGTAATACAAAAAGCAAATTATGAGCCATAAGACAGGCTAGTATTCCATTATTCTCTAAGACCAGACTTTTGAAAATTGACTTATGAAATATTCAAAGGAAAGCAAAATTTTATTCAATCTAATTCAGAAAGAAATCTGACTTTAGTTTAATTGCTGTAATTGTAGTGAATGTCACTTTAAAATATATCTTGGTAAATGGATATTGTTAACAACAATATAATGTTTTCTTTTGATAATTAGTTTCTTGAAGCCTGTGTTTAGGAAATCTTTTCATTTTCTAATTAGTTTTGTTTTTTTGTTTGTTGTTGGATTTTTTCCTGAATAGTTAATTACATTTCACAGTACTTAGGG